TCATATGGGGGTAATGGAAAAGAAAATGGAAACTACTATAGTATATAGGGATTGTATGGGGGTAATGGAAAATAACATGGAAACTACTATATATATTGGATTGCTGTTAAGGAACTTCAATTAAGTTACGATAATGGGTATATATATATAGTAAATAATAGGGTTTCCCCAATATAGTGACTTAATTTAAGTGCCTTAACAGCAACCCAGCTTTAGGATCTCAAAACAGCAGATCCGCTAAGAGTGCTGATGACAAATACAAAAGAACACTTTTTTAACGACTGCGGATCAGGGGTGCTCATTATATAGTAGTAGGTTTTAAGACCTGTTTAGAAGAGAGCTTTTGAGTGGAATGGTCAAGGAGATCCAGGATGTAATGCGACTACCTCCTCTGCCCCTCTTCCTCAAACGACTAATAGTACTACACCCGCACCACCACTGTTAGCGCTTCTGCCACTACCATGGCTTCGGCGACAACGACGATTGCCATAACTGCTACTACTACTGCTACTGGTACTACTGCTACTACTACTTCTTCTTAGCACTCCTGACTCGCGACTCCCTACTCCCTATTGCTCCTCTTTGCCACTACTATTCTTTCTCCTACTTCCATCAATAATACATGAACGTGGGCACACTAGCATGGCTCAGCATAAGAAGTCCTTCCCCAAACCCTCAGCCCTAATCTTACTGGTCGTTAGCAGAGAGCAAGGGACTAGAATTCCTGTACAATCCTTACATCATCCTTGTATAACCACGTTATAATTACTCCCTGTATAGTCCGTACATCATCGCTATGAAGTATTTTCCTTGATTCCCTACTAGCCCCCAGCAAGTACCCTAAACCCTCAACCCCCACATCCTAAACCCTGAATCGTAAACCTTAAATCTTAAACCCTCAGCCCTGAACCCTGAACCTTAGAAACCTATATATCACAAACCCTGAATCCTAAACTCAAACTCTAAACCCTAAGCCCTAACCCTAAAAAATAGCTTCCGTTTTCTTTTTCATTCTCCCTATATAACCCTATATAGCCCCTTGTATATAACCCCCTATATCAACCTAAACCTTCAACCCTAAACCCTGAACCCCAAACAACCCTAAACCCTGAACCCTAAACCCTGAACCTTAAACCCCAAACCCTAAACCCTAAGCCCTAAACCCTAAACCCTGAACCTAAAACCTGAACCCGAAACCCTAAACCCTAAACCCTAAGCCCTAAGCCCTAAACCCTAAACTCTCAACCCTAATTTGTGTGCAGTGCAGGAGCAGGATGCCGAGTTCCGAGCCAGTCTGGCAGCGGACCGGGCCCGTGAGGATGGCGCAGAGGTGGGAGCTTGAAAACCATAGGATTCTAGAGTTCTAGGGTTTTAGGGTTCTAGGGTTTTAGGGTTTTAGGGATTAAGTTTTAGGGTTTTAGGGGTTTAGGGTTTAGAGATTAGGGCTTAGGGTTTGGGGATTAGGGTTTAGGGTGTAAGGGTTTAGGGGTTAAGGGTTTAGGTTTCGAGTTATAAGTTATAAGGAGTTATAAAGGAGTTTATAGGGCTAGACGGTGTTATATAGGGGTTATAGGGTTATGAGGAGTTACATGGGAGTTTTTTAGGCCTTATAAGGTCACAAAGAGGTAATTAGGATTTTCAAGGGTTATATTGTGTTTTATAGGGTTCATATGGAATTTCAGAGGAACTATCCGAGTTTTTGTAGAGAGATTATACGGCTTACTTGGCCGGGCGTGGGTTTACTA